GGGGAAGTTAGCGTGTGAAGGAGAAGGGAGAAAGCGAATTGGAAGAGAGTTGCAGTAGCAAGGACCGCACGATGGGAATATCTCTAACAAAAGATTTCGCTTCCAAATTCGCGATATTGAAATAAATATCTTTGCCAAAAGATTTCCTTTCCGAATTCTTTGGAAAGAATTAAATTAAAATCAAAATAACGCATACATTCTCTCAAACCCGAGCGGGTCAGTCTACATCATAAATTAACAAATTGGCGGATTAATTAACTAGCTTAATAAATATTTATATTTATTTTTTATTAATGTCAATAATTTAATATATACTAGCAGACCATCGTTGTGCACAGCACGGCCGAGCCCTCAGCATAATGTAAATAATCCAATATCATAAAGTTATCTTTTGTAATTAGAAAATAATGAGAAATAATAAAAAAAAGTCATACATTTAAATCATAAATAAAAGATTCGTCATTAAATATACTACATCGATGAGTGTATAGATCAGTCACGGAAACATGAGGGAACGTTGTCCAGTTGCCACACTTCTTCATTCTTCCTCAGCATGTGGTCATGTTAGTCGTCCAACACATCCACGCACTTCTAGTCCACCCCTTAGCTCTTGAGGATGGCCACCACTCTGCAAAAAACTCGTACTGTAGGGCCCCCCTCGAACCCTTGATGAAAACCACCACTTATTTTTCCTATCAGTTGGTCGATTAGGCTCTCTAGAGGCACCGTTAGCTGCACATAACGGCCTAGGATCAGCCACACGTTAGCCTTTTTGCGCGGGGCATTCTGACCCATGTCGAGTTTCTGGGTTTGTTTCCAGGCAGGACTTTGTTAGTCGAGACTATGTGCTCTTGCAACCACGAGTAGGGTAAAATTTAAAAAAAAAAATAAAAAAAATAAAAAAACCAACAAGCAATCTTTACCTCAAACACAAGATAATTGGGGGAAATTAGCGTGTGAAGGAGAAGGGAGAAATCGAATTGGAAAAGAGTTGCAGTAACAAGGACCGCCTGATGGGAATATCTCTAACAAAAGATTTCACTTCCAAATTTGCGATGATGAAAGAAATATCTTTGCCAAAAGATATCCTTTCCGAATTCTTTGGGAAGAATAAAATTAAAATTAGATAACGCATACATTCTCTCAAGCCCGAGCGGGTCCATCTACATCATAAATTAATAAATTGGCGGATTAATTAACTAGCTTAATAAATATTTATATTTATTTTATATTAATGTAAATAATTAATTATCTATACGAGCAGACCATCGTTGTGCACAACACGGCCGAGCCCTCAGCATAATGTGAATAATTAAATATCTTAAAGTTATCTTTTGTAATTAGAATATAATGAGAAATAATAATAATAAAAAAAATCATACATTTAAATCATAAATAAAAGATTCGTCGTTAAATATACCACATCGATGAGTGTATAGATCTATCACGAAAACATGAGGGAACGTCATCCAATTGCCACACTTCTTCATTCTTTCTCAGCTTGTGGTCATGTTAGTCGTCCAACACATCCACACACTCGTAGTCCACCCCTTCGCTCTCGAGGATGGCCACCACTTTGCAAAAAACCCATACTGTGGGCCCCCCTCGAACCCTTGATGAAAACCACCACTTTATTTTTCCTATCAGTTGGTCGATTAGGCTCTCTAGAGCCACCGTTAGCTGCACATGTCTGGTAAGGCAGAAAAACTCTACTTAACACTCTACTCACCAGAAATGTTTTTTTTTAATCATCAATAACTCTTCAAGTTGGGAGTTTGCAACTTAACGATTTTTATTTTAATTTTTTTAACTAATAACTTAGTAATTAACTGTAATTCTTTTGTACTTGAAATCATATCCCTTCACACTCGATATTCATGTGCCCTTGCCCCTCGATGCTCCATATCCACTGTAGGCATTCATGCCATTAGCCCCATTCTTTGTCCCGTGGTGAATGGCATTACATGGGATTGGACGTGATATGATCGATCTACCCAATATGTTTCTCATATTCACTTTAGTTTTGTTATCTCTCAATCCAAATAAAATTTTGCATCTCAAAATGCACAAACTAAGAGTCAGACTTTGTGGATGGTAAGAGTTGGATGTGTGCATTGTTGTTACCTGTAGAGTTCCAAGGCAAAAGATGACTACCCCGATAATCCTGGATGACGTGTATTAGACTCCGGGAGACTGGCTTCCTAGTCAGAGCCCCGTGGCCCAGCCCGCAACTCCAATTATGTAGGTTGAGGTTTGTCATGTCGCGTGAAGATATAACCAGATTGGGTCGGCCGAGGGGAATACTTTTAGGTACCTCACAAAAAATATCACCAACGGGAAACAATAATCCCAGCTTATTGCATTCACCACTCCATGAAAAATCTGCACATTCATGAGAGTTCTTGTGAGATACCAAAAAAAAAAAAAAGACATGATTTTCTCGACAGTAACTGTTACTAAAGGTACCACCAATTGAGACTAATATTAATTTTCAAAATCTTGAAATATTGTATGTTCATATCAACTACATGGCATCGATGACTTTAAATCTTCAATTGTACAATAATTACAAAATAATATAGTTCAAATAACTATAACAAGACCAAAATTAAAATAATAATAATAATAATAATAATAATAATAATAATAATAAGAGAATCCATTTAACCATCAATTCAAAAAAGTCGCACTAAACAAGTAAAGCTAATTACTCAAGACATAAATTGCAAATATATATCAACATGCATGAAGAACTCGCATTCTTTTTCTTCAACCTGGAGCTCGGGGAGCTCGTACCCCCGACAGCAAATCCAAGCTCTGAACCGACTGCACATTAGCCCCTGTTGAGCGTGAAGCATTGAGCTAAACTAAGAGTGTGATCGCCCGCAATTTTAGTTAAAATTCAGTTATTTTTTTAAAATTACGAATTCGGAAAAAAAAAAGGTTGCAACTATGTACTCTCGACTTAAATCATAATAAAAAAAATGGGTTCGAGAGAAAGAGGTCGTTAGAGATGAAATAAGTGGTACTGAGAGTACAACCATGTATTTCATATCACAAGGTCTTTTGCTATGAACTTTGCAGTGATATTTTTTAAGGCTCGAAAGGCAAGAGGAGGTCGATATTAGCTGCAGTCTCATCAGTCGTTAGACCATATCGACGTCCCAAAGGAAGAGAAACAAAGTGATGTAGGGAAGCGTGGGATGATATGAATGTGATCTCAATCTCAAACACGATAAAACACAATCAAATCTTATTTCATTCAATAATTCACCCTCCTAACAATAAATCATAGTCCTTATATAAGGTTCTCAATATCAAAACTAATTTATTCTTCAAACTGCCTATTAATTATAATGCAAATAATTATATCCCCTAATACTAATATTATATCCACATCATTCTTCCCGGGTTCGAAAGGATTCGCCATTGAAGCCGCACCAAACGCGTTGATGGTAAACATAATGTTGGGAAAGGATGTAACTGCAACAAAGACAATTGTACACGCCCCCATAAGCATAAATCACCCAGCAAAATTAGCACCATAAATACCACATTGCTCGCAACACTCAACTCCACAATTACGGCCAAACATTCCGTTGTTGTAAGACTTCGATACAAACAATTAGAAAATGTCAAAACGGCTTTTAAGACCCGGTCTCAACTCCGAAAAATGATTCAGGGCCAAGATACTCCAAAAATCGGGTCTAGCCGACAGTTCTCTATTCGAAGGTTCAACCTCTATGACGTTCCATGGAGGGCCCATATCGCTGCAAGAATGTATCTCTGTCACCAGAGGCTCCTCATAAAAAATGGACTGACTGTTGTACAATGGCCCGCCAACTTGTTCTCCATCGAATTCAGAAGTGTCAACGCGAAACGACCTCTCCCATCGACCATATTTGCGATCAAATTCCCTCTGCATAGCCCAAATTCTTCAGCTCCTTGATAGGCCCAAAAAATGCGTCCATTATCCCAGAGTGACTCATCGCCACGTCTGTCGGACGCTGCACATTGCTCTGTTGCTGCCAATCTCCTGCGACGCTTTTCCTTGTAGGTTCTAACCCCGCCGTAGTTGTTCGTCATCAAAGTACGTTGTGTTGCGCCCAATGTCCAAATCGCCTCGCTGTCGGTCGAACCCCACGAAGCCGGAGCCATCACATTCAAGTCCTCAATCGCGTTAGGCACAATATCGGCCGGCGAAGACAGTCTCCACGCGCCTGCCTCTGTCATCGCGTTGATCGTCACCGTTCATGAAGACCGGTCCCCGTCGTCGCATGACACGACCACCGTATGCAGTGAAGGGGTCAACCTCGACGTGTGGGGGTGGATTAATCGCCAAAGGGATTCACCTCCTAGACTGTCTCCTCGTCGTTGTCTTCGCGGGACAGTGGTCGTTGAGATCTCCGATAGGGCGCCCTGCCTTGACCAATGCCTCCACGTCCTCCGCGAAATCTCTGAAGGGGTTTCTGCGTAGAGTCTCTGATGACTAAGTCAGTATCAAGAAGATGGTGGTGTTCTGTAAATAAGAGTCGTATGTAATGTATGGAGAATGTAAAGTTAGGGTTAGGTGATACCTCAATCACTTTTATAAGAAAATACATGTCCGAAATGCTCTGCCCGAGTGCCTGCGGGCAGTCAATCCGACTGCCCAGGTTTAGTGCTTATACATATCCTAATAATCTCTTAGTTAAATCCTAATATCCTAAGATTCCTTCTTATCCCTTTAAGATACCTTCTTATCTTGTAATTCCTCTTAGGCTATCCACTTCATGCCTCGCCTCGGTATGTAAAGTGAACTAGGTTGTCATCAAGGATTGAAATCGACTTAATTCATAGCCCGAGGGTCGGGTAGCCTGATATCCTCCTACGAGACTTGTGGGATCCGTTGGTTATAAGTCGTTATCCCTCTAGTCGCCTTCCTGTCTCCAAGTTGCTTCATGTCGACCTCGAGTTGCCACGAGGTTGTCTTATCCTAGATATCTTAGTGAATGTCGACTTACTCAGGTCCTTATTCATTTAGCTCGAGCTCCTTACACTTGTAATAATCCAGTCCACTTGTGTATGGCTATATCAGTGTTATTATTCAAATATTTTGTATGATATTAAAAATATATTCATAAACAAGCATACTACTCATATATACTAATTCTAATTTATTCTATAGAATTTAAAAAAAAATGAAAATTAAATTAGCAGAGTTCAAAATACTATTGTTTTCATTTATAATTTTATAAATTTAATGAAAATAATTATATTTATTGAAAATTTAATTGTAAATAACACGTCATTTTAAATAGTTTTCAATCTAATAGTTAATATTTATTGTACATTTATTTTTATGATTTTACTATAAGAACATAAATGCTTTTATATATATATTATTTTTACTATAAAAATATTATTTTTCAAAGATCACATGTATCATAATGATATAGTATAAGGTTAATAAATATGCTATAGTAGAAAACAAATTAAAAGTTGTATCACGTAATTGCCTTTTTTTCATACCAACACCTATCCTATTTTTCTTTAATTTCTATTTACAAATACAACTAAATTCAAACTTTCAACAATTTTTTTATAACAATTGAATTAGTAATATTAAAAACTTTGTGGTTGCTTTATTGTATATTATATTTGTGTTTTTTTTAATGCTATAATGAAAATATAAATGCTTTTACATTTTTTTCTTGTTTTTGATTGAAAAATTATTTATTTTAAATTACAAACTCCAAGTTTTGCGCTCAATCAACTTTATTTAAAATAATTCACTTAAAAAGTAACTTATCACATGATTTTGCTATGAAACCAACTATCGACTCTATAATGGAGCTAACATTCTATATACAACAAGTAAACCATACTATATTAATAAAATTATTAGTGTTATTTAAGTAATTAGAGAATATAATATGATTTACTTAGTGTATTTAGAGGGTTGGTTCTACTATGTAGCCAACGGTTGGCTTTATGGCAAAATCGACTATCATAATGCATTCATATCCAATCACGCTGCAACACTAGAGGGAACTAAGGAAAGAAAGAGACATTTTTACAGCATGATTGGATACAAAAATTTTCAAAAAAATTCAAACATTTTTAATTCAACTATTTTTCTTTAACTCAATCCCACTATCATCAATATTATCAATATAATTAAATAATATCAATCAGACATTCTTACACACCACATCACCTTAATTCACTATTCATCAATTCACATTAACCATCACTTCGAATCTTCTCTCTCATACTTTACATCAAATAAACTTTAATTATTTTATTTTAAATATTATTTTAATATACCCACTAACAACTAACCATACCAACTTTTTCAAAACGAACCAAACAAAAAAAAAAAAATCAAAAAACAAAACCAAAATTTTTTATATCCAATCATCAATATGGCCTGCACAGTACAAGTTGCCCAAGCATACCTTGGTACAACCCCTCACCGCAGTACCACACCCCACCCCACACACTATATAAACAAATGAGAGCGCATTCCGTCTACTGTCTATTATCCTAACCTTATCTTCTTCCCCGCATCCTCTACAATTTCACACCCGAATAATGCCGGAAACGGAAGAGGAGCTCCAACTGGAGGAGGAAAGCTCCGAAGAAGACGACTCCGATACTGAAGCTCCTCCGTCGGAATCCAACGAGGACTTCGACAACAACCACAGTGAAGCCAAACTAGACAAAGACATCTTCAAAGACGCTGAAGAAGAAGAAGATCTCTACAAGCCAATAAGATACCGCCGCGCCGACGGCACGATCGGGGAGACCAGCTTGCGCGGACCCGTGACCGATTTTAGCGCCGAGGCCAACTTCGCCCGCTGGAACGCGGTCCTCCAGTCGAAGGCCCATCGCCGGCAGTTAGAGGAGCTGAAGGAGAGTGCTCCCGTTATCGACAAGGACGAATACTTCAATTTCCCCAAGGACCCGGAGAACTGGCAGGAGGAGGACGTGAGGGAGCTGTGGGCGGACCGCCCGTTGGGGATGATGAAGTCCGGGTTTGACCCGTACTGCGTGGACGAGGTGGAGGTCAAGATCATCCAGGACGAGATTAAGGCCGGGAGGAAACCGCCGATTGCCCCCTTCTACGTGCCTTACAGGAAGCCCTACCCAGTGATCCCGGACAGGAAACACAATCACTCCGTCTACTCACCCAAGACAGTTATTGAGGAGCTGGACAGGATAGAGGAGTTCCTGACCTGGCGGAGCTACATATTTGAAGACGGCAGCTTGTGAGTGGTTTCAGTCTTCTTTAAGGGATTGCATAGCTTAGCTTTTACTTGTTTCGAGTTTGACTTAAAGTGTTTGATTATTTGCTCATTAGAAGTCCCTTCCTGTTTGTACATACTAATTTTTGTTGTCTTGGCAACTTTGGGAATGGGATTACTGGATTAGTCTTTATTCTTGTTCCATTTCTCGTTTAAGCATGAGTTCCCCACCTCTTTTGACAGTATATTTTGCAATTGACAAAATTTCGACTTCTTCTAAGGTATGAAGGCACCGTTTGGGATGACTACGCTCATGGAAAAGGTGTTTTCGTTGCTGAGAACGGTCTGGTCAGGTATTTGTGGTTGTCTAATTCTGAATCTATCGTATTTTCAGAATATTCACTGATGCAATCATAATCAGAAGTTCTTAAAACATTTTTTCTTCTAGATATGAAGGAGAATGGCTGCAGAATGATATGGAAGGTCATGGCGTAGTTGAAGTGGACATTCCCACCATGGAGCCCATTCCGGGTTCCAAGTATGTTATTCTGTGCTATGTTAAAGATTTATGATATGATCAGTGTTTAGAAAAGAGATGTCCTTAAAATTACTTATGGTTCTTTCAGGCTTGAAAAACAGATGCGAGCTGAAGGGAAAATAATATCGAGAGACTTCTTGCCACCTGAAGATAAAAAATGGCTGGAGATGGATATTGAAGACAGCATGCGTTTAGCTGATGGAGATTTAGAGGTCCCCTTTTATGAAAAAGATGATTGGATCAGACTATTTGGAAGGACGCCGTAAGTTTTATGTCCGAGCTAACTAGCTTCTTTCACCTTCTATTTTGGACCTCGTGATACTTGTATGCAGTTTGGTGCTTGTTGGCGTAATGTTTGCTTAGAGGCTAGTGATGTTAACCTACAGTATTTTGTGTTCATTCATCCTTAACTTTTGTGTTCATAACTTCAGGCAGCTCAAATTACAATTATACAAATTCTGCCAATGTTAAAATAATTTCAACTTTATAATTACTATGAGGCCATGTTGTAGTAATTACAAAAAACAACAAAATGAATAAAGAAAATCAGCCATCGAATCGATTTCCCTTTTTTTTCAATAATAAAAGACCGGTTGCTTCACTTATATTGCTCAACTACTCATTTCCTACTCCTACAGTAGCATTTGTGTAGACACGCATGAATTGCATGGGAAGATGCTAATATATCGAGCAAGTTCATATTCTATGAAGACTGTGAAATTTGTATTGTCTATTTAGCTTTTGAATAGAATAATAGTTGCTTGTCTTGATCTTTCAATGGTCCTTTGATCCTAGGGAGAAAGGTCGTTACCGGTACGCTGGCCAATGGAAACATGGAAGAATGCATGGTTGTGGCGTTTATGAAGTCAATGAGAAAACAATATTTGTAAGTAACACTATACTGTTGTTTCACCATCAAGAGTTTTAGTTCAACTGATACTGTTCACGATGTGCAAGGGTGTTTTAACACTTTCTGAACGCCGATTTTTTTGGCTTATTCCCTTTCCCTTCAACCATTCCTCCCGTCTAATTAGAAGAAATTTACAATTTGCTAACTCTTACTTGGATCTATTTGTTTCTTAGTAGAAGATTTCATCACACCTGATATAAAATTTTTAGGCTTGATTCCAGTCAACAACCAATTCTTCTTATTTATGTTTTTTCCAAGTGAAACGGCTTGCTCTATGAAGTTAATTTTATTTATTTGATTCTTGGCCTGTCTAATTTTTCTCGATGTTGCACCTTGTACTATGACGTTTCATATGAGGAATTGTCATATACATTCCAGAAAGGTAGCTCATTTTTTTGCTCTGTTGATAGACAATTTGGAAAAAAATCTGAACGGGCTATGATTTTATGGTATACTACAAAACCACATACTAGGTTTAGCCCATCTATGGTAAGACCAATTGTTCCAAATCACAATAGTACTTAAATTCTTATAAAGACCGTTTTACATTTATCTTCATAACATTTATACTCCCTTTTTGAGGGTGCACAATGTGAAAAAGAATCAGAACATGATCTGAAAAGAACTGGGTTTCTTTACAATTATGTGAAGGCTCTAAGGGATTGTATTTGTAACTGAATCCTATCTGTTTAGTGACTAATTGAATACATCTAAAATTCTCTAATATCAATGTTATAAAATAATATGTTGAGTTGTCAAATTCTACACATACTGACTTGAAAGAATTATTTATCTACATATTATTGTTATTATAATTATTTTGAATTTCTGCTGGAACTAATATAAAGGATTTTCTGGTAGATAAGCATAATTTATTATTGCTTGTGCAAGAGAAAAGTGTATCTTTTGATTCCTAAGATCTTATCACTTTATTTGGACGAGAAAGATCTATGAGGCGAAACATGATAAAGAATCCTGTTTACATTGTTTCTGTTTGTGCTGGCAGGGCCGATTCTATTTTGGTCTCCCTTTGGATGATCCATCTGGCTGTGATGCAGAAGTGTCAGGGGTTAAGAATTTTCCTTCTGCTCAAACTCTGTTTGAAATTTCCATGTTGCTTTAGAGAGGATAACATAAGCGTGTGTCACCTCAGCTGCATGCAGGTATAGCAGAGGTTGCAGCTGCGAAGGCCCGCATGTTCGTCAACAAGCCTGATGGAAGTAAGTTTTTGTACAATGAAAATCAAGTTTATTGCTCAGTGAAGGTATTAGAAACCGCAATTTCTTGAAGGGTTATTTCGATCTGCTTCCATGAGGTTAAAAAATTCCTCTTGGGTCTTATATTTGATCACTTATTTGGGCAGTGAGCAGTATTTGCAGTTTGAATGACAAATTTTAGTATACATCTATCGTAGTCTGATTGTAGTTGATTCAAGGCTAGAAAATTACGATAGGACCTAGAAATGTGCCCCATAGAGAAACAATCTTACTGAATTATGCACTATTTGGTGAGCTAAATACACGGAACATATTCATGCTTTGAATAATCTGTAACATGTTAATACTTGTGAGTTGGGACTTACAACTGTTGGACTTTGACAATCTACTTTATTGTCAATTTTGAACAACTGAGAGATATGAAGAAAAGTAGTGATAGTAACATAAGTCTCGTAAGCTAAAACTGCTAGATACCCTGATTTTAAAAACAGGTATTTGTGCTTCTTCAGAAAGAGAGTTATGTTTTACCAGGAAACTTCACTTGCTATTTAGTTGGATACTTTTTTCCTCCTCTTATGAGTATTCAGTTAAATATGTTGGCTTTTCTCCTTGTACTTGCGCATTCTAATAAATTCTGTGTTCTGTCAGTGGTCAGAGAAGATAGAGGTCCATATTCTGATCCCCAACATCCTTACTTTTACGAAGAAGAAGATGTGTGGATGGCACCAGGCTTCATCAATCAATTCTATGAGGTAACATTACTCAAACATAATAAGGAAATACCATTGTCATCCAAATGGTATAAAGTCTTGTGAAAAAATTGCCTTTTCAGGTACCAGATTATTGGAAAACGTATGTCCATGAGGTGGACCAAGAGAGGGAGATGTGGTTGAACTCATTCTACAAAGCTCCACTTAGGCTGCCTATGCCTTCTGAACTTGAATACTGGTGGGAGAAAGGAGGTGACTTTGTTCTTAGAGATTCATGTCATATCATCTTACTGATCCGTTCTCCCCGTTTTGGTTTTCAACTAATGTTCAAAATTGTGAAATGATTGCAACTTTGCAAGTTAAATATTGATTTATACTAAATTTATGAACTCAGTACTACAATAACATTTTACTGTCCCCGCTACAAATTGGAAGGGATATATAAAACTTTCGTAAGAAACCATTTTGTAACAAAACCCCTTTTCTCCTATTCCGACCAGATGAAGAACCTGAATTCGTCCTGATTAACAAAGAGCCCGAGCCCGACCCAGAAGACCCGTCACAGCTCGTATACAGCGAGGACCCACTCATCCTACACACCCCGACTGGCATGATCATAAACCACATAGATGACGAGGAGCATGGGATAAGGCTCTTCTGGCAGCCCCCACTGAAAGAGGGCGAAAGCGTAGATCCGGAGAAAGCCCAATTCCTGCCTCTCGGTTTCGACGAGTTCTATGGTCTCGAAGAGGTCACCGAGCAGGAAAACCCATGGCCCCGACTTGTGACTTCGGTGGAGAATGCGTGCAAGTCCTTTATCGAGGGTCTGGAAAAACGGGCAGAGGAGAGGAAGAAAGTGGGAATGGAGAAAATGGAATTGCTGAGAGAGGAGATGGAGCTCGTGGATGCTGAGCTTTCCCTCAAGGAGGCTGTTGAGGATTTGGACGAGGAGTTGAAGAGGATGCAAAAGGAAGAGGAGGAGAAAGGTGGTGATTTGGTGCCCGAGTTGGAGAAGACTGTGGATAGGGTTGAGGAAGAGGAGGAAGAGGAGGAAGAGGAGGAAGAAGAAGACGAAGAAGAAAATGATGATGATGAGGATGATGATGGCAATGGTGTTAATGCTTCGAGTTTCGGGTCGATTAATGATAAAATCACCAAAGATGGTGATGAGAGAAGTAAAGGGAAGTCGACGTTTGCGGCGGCATCCTTGTCGTTCAGCGGCTCGAGCCTCATGTCACTGGTAAGCATGAACTATTTCAATTCAGATTTGTTTCTATTTATTTACAAATTGTATTATCAAGGGGGAAGTTTTTCTTTAAAGTAAAATGTAGCGTAAAGGGCGTGTTTGTGATATCTTTATTGCTCGTAAGTTAGTTTTTCATAACCTTAAACTATATTTATTGGGCTGCCCCAACTTGTCAAGAAATTGAGATATTCGTTAGGAAAAGAGGTAGGAAAGCCCTACTTTGATTTTAATTTGGTTTTGGTCTCTGAGAAGATCATGTGTAACAATACAAGATCTTTGCCTCTTTGGTATCACAGTTAAATGTGAATAAATTAGGGCTAGTTACAAAGGAAGCCTTTCAGGTTTACATCTCCAAAGTTATAGGCGCCCCCTTGACTTATATTTTTGGCCACATATTACATAAGGGAAGTACTCAACAGCCGAATACATAGTGCATGCTATATTTATTTCGGAAGATTGCGGTTTTCTATTTCTTCTCTCTTCCTTTATTGAACATAATTCTACTGAACATTTTAAAAGAGTTACTTCATTATCTCTTGAAGTCGTACTCTGTTGTGGCTTGACAGGTTCCTCCAAAGCTGCGAACTTCATTTGTAAGCTGGAAAGAGGGAATACTTCACAAGCCCACACTTTCCATTACAAAGTCTCAGCCACTCGAGAGGCGAAATTTTTGTACCGTCGCGTTTCCTCGTGCGACTTATAAAAATGTCAAACTGAAAGTTGCAAGCCGTCTCGAGCACATCCCAATACCTGGCTCGAGAAAGAACTCGAAAGTGCGAGGGTCCGTCAAACGTGAACAGGTATTGGAGGATCTAAACATATTGTCGTTACACACTCCGGTGATGATGTAAACTTCGTTTGTTTTTTTGTTTTTTGTTTTTTTTGTTTTTTTTTTTAATCAAGTTTTGTAGCGCTGGTGCGTAGAAATACACTCTGAGATTCTGTGTTTTGGACCCTTTTTTGTTTGGCTAAGCTTAGATGTGACGTAGCCTTGGCCTGTAACATGATGTTCAGGTGAGCAAGGAGGAACAACGTTTTATTTATGTATGATACTCTATTTTTCACTGTAATCTGAGGTTTCAAAAATGTGCAAATTTGAAGCCTAGATGTTGATCAACGTAGTTGTTGGATGGTTCACGCCGTTAAACTCGACAGAACGTTTGTTTATATCACGTATCAGCGTACTTGAAACAAAACCAACACGGAACCAAACCAACACGGAACTTCCGTAATGGGACGGTAGAATCTCTCTTAATTATTTAGTTGTCATTAATTACTTGATATAATCACATATTACATATATCTTTTTTTTTTTTCTGTTTTCAACGACAAACGAAGAACTCTTATATCACTCAAATAGATAAATTCGATCAATCAAATGATTACACAAGGCTTGATCACCATAATCTATCTATCTATATTATTATAAAATGAGGAATGATTTTTTGTAAATAAATGATTCAACGGACTAACAGAACCTTATATTTCAATTTTATTTAATGGTAAAATTATTATTATATTTAAAAATTTGAATATATAAAGCTACATAAAATTTTAAAAACATTGGACTATAAAACTTAAGGACTCACCAAACATTGGACTCTTTAAAACAATTTCGTGAGATTACTTTATTTTTTTTAAAAAAAAAGAAACAAACTGATTGGTTAAGAGTTACATGTTTCATGCACATGTCATTATCCTCCTTCTAATATAGAAAAAATATTTGGCACGTGAATAATTATTTACAAAAAAGAAAAGAAAAGAAAAAAAAA